AGTGACCAGTATATGTATATGTATGTACATACATACAATACATGTATATATGCAGTATACATTCGAGATGGTGGGATTGGTGGGAACGAATCCTGGACATGCGCACCAGCGCGAGCGTAGCAGACGAACGCGGTCTCGGAGCATATGGAGAATATAAGGCCGAGTTGACCAGAGTTGACCTGAGGGTCGATTGGGGTCGATTGTGTATCTTGGATCGAGGTGAAAATTACAAAAGTGCGAAGAAATTCACTAGAGTATCTACAATTTTATTTGTCGAAATCTAGTAAATCTGTTTACTTTTGTAATTTTCACCTCGTTTTTTAAGATAGATACGTATTGTAATTGACATTTGATTGACATTTTATTAAAAAAATTTTAGCGAAGATAATCTACGCTTGGCTCTTATTGCCTAATCGAGTTTAATATTTTATATACTGAGCCTTTAGAGATATATTAAGATATATAATTGATTCTCTGGTTAAATCGCCCCGAGCTTCGAAATAATTTATATATATATTGACGTCACTTCGTGGTAAATCGAGCAATATTGATTAGGAAAGAGCGGTTAGCCTCGGACATTTTAGTATCATCAACACTAAAAAGGGCCAATATCGAGTCTCCGATTAACGTGATCCTCCGATTAAACTCACTCTGCATCTCTTTCTAACTGTCCTCCTAGAAAGAGATGAAGAGTGAGTTTAATCGGAGGATCAAGTTAATCAGAGACTGTGATCCTTCGATTAAACTCACTCTTCATCTCTTTCTAACTTTCCCCCTTATGTTTATTTTTATCAATGTAAATTAATTTTAATCTCGGTTTAATTTACTTTTTATCTCTCTTCTAAGAATTAAAAAAAGATAAAACGTAAGTTAAACCGAGATTAAGGTTAATTTACATTGATAAAAATAATTAAATAAACATAAGGAGGAAAGTTAGAAAGAGATGAAGAGTGAGTTTAATCGAAGGATCAAGTTAGTCGGAGACGGTGAAATCGGCCCAGTTGTTCTAACTTGTTGGTAAACTAATTAAAGGCCATTGTACGTAACAAAATTTAGGCCGTAAGGAAATTGAACAATCACAGTCGATTATATCCTCCTCGCAGTCGAAAAATAATCTGTTATGGGTCAATTTTCCTACGGCCTTCCGACTATTATAAATTTTGTTAAGTGTAATATATAGTCTTTAATAGTTAAATCATATGTCCATCTTTGTCTAATTTGAAGGGAAAACAAAGACATATATATAAAATGTTAATATATAATACTAACATTGTATATAATATACTAATATACTGAGAGAGTGTCTCATTTTAATTTGAACAGTCAGATATCTCGATATCACGTTTCAGGTAGCACATTATATTCGTTTCAGAAATGTTTGTTTGAAACGTTTCATAACCGGTTTCTAAAGAAACGTTTGTTATGAGTTAAAATATCCTCGATAAACGTTTAAAAAAATGTTTCTTTTAAAAAACGTTCTTGTTCTTTATCTAGGAAAAGATAAAAAACACTTAATTTCAACTGTTTCTTTATGTGATATGTCGTGTGTATGTACGTACACAGCAACGCGTCCGCCCGACTCGACTATGGCTTCGTTTATCGGCGTTTCTTTTCGTTTATTCTGATCCTTATAATGGCAGAGATAATAATATCGTAAGCTCGCGCATTTGGTCATTTGACCTTCGGCGACCTAATATATACATATATATATATTATATGTAATTGGGTCATATATATACTATGTTTACGCGAGCGTTACTTCTGTAGTAACTTACGCCGATAATTCACTAATTTATGCGGAGTAAATTATCGTAAAAGTTACTACAAAATCCCGTTTACGCAAAGAAATTATCATAACAAAAGTATAACGCTCGCGTAAACGTAGTAATACGCGTTGAACTCGTAATGGAGAATGGTTACAAACGTATATAGTTTGTAAATGGTATATTGCTATTAAAAAAATTAAGTTGACCTTCATTTGATGATAACGCCTTTACCCAAGGTCAAATTTTTTAAATTAAAAGATGTCCCCCATACAACTTTTGTCTGGAACATTTTTCTCTAAAATTACGCGATAGCGTTATATTTGACTGGTTCAAATTAAAATGAGACACTAATACTATTGTAATATCTATAATAACATACTAAATATAATAATGCTAATTTTTTATTTAATTTATTAATTTTCAAAAACTATATTTAAACAATTTTTTATAATAATGTATACATATGCTATATCTTTCAAGTCTACTTTGGTCTATATAGTAATTAGTAGAATTCAGAATATATATGTATAATTAACTCTACTTATAAATTTATGCCGCATATATGCCGCTTATACTTTGATGCGTATAAGTATTTTAATATTTTTCTTCTCAGAATCTTTTTTACGACCCAAGAATACACAAAATTTGAAAAAATGAAAAGGAATCGGGGACGGGGGGAGAACGTTATACTACATATTTGCTGTTCTTTCCACTATATGATATTAATAAAATTATTAATAAAATCTGTCGTCAATTCTGAATTTATTATTTATATAATATTTATATTCGTATATATTGTTTTCCTTCCCATCCATAAATGCTATTATCGACATCCCTGGAAACGTTTCTCAAAAGTTTATCGTTTACGCCACCAAAACTGAATAGCGCTGGTCACGCGCTGGTGTTCAGTTTCAGTGTTGGTGTTGTCCGTTTAATAAACAGCAATAAACAGTTCGTATTTCGTTTTCGTGGTGATTTCAGTCGTTTATCGCGTAAAAATCCGAAGAAAATGAATCGCCATCCGAATACTGACTACAAAAATCGCAATGACCTGCAGGTTGAATTAGAGAGTCAGTTTATTATGCGGTTACCGCCGGTATGTTTCCTATATTATGCTATCTTGTAATCCGATTTGAACTTAACCTAGTCAGAGATCACATAGACGAATTAAAGAATCGGAAATAATATATATACTGAATTAATTCTCTTTAAGGAACCCGCCAAAGTACTGAGGGAAGCCTTACGCAGTACTTTGCCTTTAAAAGATAGATTTACTATAAAACTGGAAAACGATATGCGTTACGGTGAGGTTAGGATTGACCACTGGTTACTCCATACTAAGGTAAATTTTGCTGCATCATGCTGTTCAATTTAAATCGCCGGATAAAAATCGATCACGAAGACGAATTTGTACATTTGATCAATTTTGCTTAGGTTGTGGACCTGCCGACGATAGTGGAATCCTTAAAAACCATCGATAACAAAAGCTTTTATAAAACTGCCGATATATGCCAGGTAAAAATGGAAAGAACGTTATTAGATAATATAGAAAACGAAGAGCTTATATTACATTATTTTCCTGCAACGCTTCTTCAGATGCTATTATGTAAAGAGGAGGACGATCATACCGCGACAGATGAGGAATCTCCTGTTAAGCAGAAGAAGAAGGATCCAAACAAGGTCGACAAGAAGTTCCTTTGGCCTCATGGTATAACACCGCCCGCTAAAAACGTGAGACGCAGGAGATTTAGAAAAACTTTGAAGAAGAAGTACGTAGAGGCGCCGGAGATCGAGAAGGAGGTTAAACGTCTGTTGCGAGTGGACAATGACGCTGTTAACGTTAAGTGGGAAGTGATATGCGAAGATGAAGATACGTCGAAACCCAGCAAAGTCTCATCGTCTGGCACAGTTAAGACTAAACGGGAGAGTATGAATGGGAACACATCTCAAAGTCTGGATGTTGGTGAGTGTTGGTTTAGATAAAGTTTATAGATATAGGAATTATGTGCTTTATATGGGTTTGTATTTCAGCTGAACACGATATATTTGGCGAGCCCGTGAGCGACAGCGAAGACGACGACGAAGAGGCGAACATAAACGTGATGGAGCTAGACGAGAACAGCCGACTTTCGGTGGACAGTAGAGTTTCCGACTCCAATTCTATGCAAGCCGCGTATTCGGAGAGGTCGAGTAATAACGCGACGACGAGCAGTGGACTAGTTACCGAGTTCAGTAAAGATATGTTCCACAATGATAACAACGGCGATATGGAAACCGAGAAGCTGCAGGGCGAGAGTACTCCGCCAAAAGTTCCCAAATTGGAGCAATTTCATTCGGAATATATTATTCCAGATGATATTGCTCCTGATTACATTGAATCACCTCCATCGATATCTAAAGGTAATTTTAATCCGAGAATGGGCGCTGGAACTACTTAAACAGCCCAGGGTCTAAAAAAAGCTCACGTCACGGTAATTTTAATGTGCTTCTTTCGTTTTATAAATGTTTTTTTGGTTTTTCCTTACTCTTTTCGGAATATGTTGAGTAAATCTATATACATATTGTTCTCAAATACTGATAAATTGTAGACCAATCCAAAATATGCAATATGTAATTAATAACAATGACTTTTAATTGGGGTGTAAAAGTAGCCTCAGGTGACCGTTCATGAGGAAAAAAGCCGGTTTTCGGGTTAAATAAGCGGTGTTTCCACTTCTCCTTAACTTTGTTTACTTAAAAACATCCAGGTTCTCGTCTCGCTACTCTTCACGCGGAATTGGCGGAATTGCAGCAAAGAAGGCAGCAACAGGAGGTCGAAATAGCTAATATTGAAAACTTCAAACTGAAGCAACGGTTCCAGGAGATCTTGGATAATTTGTTGACTCAAGAAATGCAGAAATTACAAGAGGTATAACAAATAATGACCTGCATATTGTATTTTGTTTTATTTGCCAATTATTTTGACTTGCAATATATATATATTATGTTCTTTTTGATATTTCAGATAAGAGATCTGAATCCGTGATCGGAATAGAAAATGCAGCAAGAGTTTTATGCATTATATGTATAAAAAAGCAGTTAATATATTATATAAGACAAGTTTTTTTTTATATAGCAATTTTTATATAAACAATTCAACAATTACACAGTGCAATTAACTTACACATATACATTGTACAAAATCAAAATATGAATAATCACTTTTTTTTCTAATATATGCCTTGATACTGGAGCTAATGGAAAAAAAATTCATCACCTTTATTTCTAATGCTTGTTAACAGTACACATTTTGTGGCATACAAATGTTGAATAAAGTAAAGAGAAGCAAATTATAAACATCCCTACTTTTGTTAACAGCAATCGTTACGTTCACGAAGATAAATATTTTCTGCCGTACAACTGTGCCTTTTTCTCAAACCCCAGAGACTTGATAGGAGTGTTGAGCTTGTAAAATGGATTCATCGAATACTGAAACAGAGAAGCAGTCATGAGCATCTCTCTTATAAAGTTGTTGATGCGGCGTCACACAATCAAACATCAATCAATCAATAAACCTACAATATCATTTTTTTTCGTAATTTATTGCAATATACCCGTAGGGTTCGCAATCTACTACCAATACTATCCTTCTCCTCTCACTTTAACCCTTTGGACCAATGGGTTAACGTCTCTTTCCGAAAGACCGAGCCCAGTTTTCTCCGCACAAGGGCCTCAATCTTGCACGGAGGGGCGCAGCTTTCGGAAAAACATTCCATGGCTCTAGTGGACTCGAACCTGGTTCCTCAGATTACGAATCTGGCGCTCTACTAGACCACACTGCCGCCCAACCTACAATATCATATAAATAAATATTACCTTTATATAGGTCTCGTACATTTCGTTGAAAAAGTTTTTGATCCCGTCCTCGTTCTTGCTGTCGTGCACCATGACGAATCGAATGTGGGTCGCCGTCACGAACGCGCTGACGAACCACTGATTAAATTTATCCACGACTTTCAAATGCATGTTCGTCGTTTTCCACGTGTGCTCGTCGACGAGGTCGAGCGCCGCGTGGGCGATGAATTGATTCAAATGCGAGTGGTCCTCCTTCTGAAACAGAAGAGCAAGGGGTGGTCAACGACGGAGTCGATGCGGAGTCGCGGAACTTAACCTAAAAACGAACGGACCTTCGCGTCCTTCCCGGCATTGTTGAATTCTATCTCGAACAGCGGGTTGTCGGCGTGGCCGACGATCGCGAAATAGTAATTCGCGGTCATCGCGAAACGACAAACGGTCGCGTCGTTACCGCGATGTGTGACTTTTGTCCGTCAACATCGGTCTTCCGCGCACTGCCGCGCACGGCGCTGCCATATTGATTTCGTCTCGAATATTTCGATAGGTTCGAAACGTCAAACGTCGCGGGTCGCGATTCGAAAAGTTTTCAGTCGTCGCGATACGATTAAAAAACAGTTGAAAAAATATATAAGTCGGAAAATGGAACATCAATTGCGTGTTCGAAAAAGATGACTTCGAAAATTGAAAATCGCCTATTAAATTTATGCATTTTCAGCTTTAATTCTGGTTTCTGCGATAAACTGTACGCATATAAACTTTTTTAAGATAATATTCGATTACATCAAATATATTCTAACCTAAATTTGAAATAAAACACGCAATTCTCGCTTACAGAGAACTAGTTTGTCCTCATCTAGTCGGTAAGGCGGACACCTAACCTCAAAAAGCATTTACTTTTGATGTATTATCATTATCGCCTTTTTAATGTCGAATAATGATTTTTATTATTATTTTTTGTATTCTAAGATACATAAAGTTTGTTTAAATTCACACGGAATGCTTTATTCAGAAAATTATCCCAATTTCAATCTGCGCCGTTATTATTTCTCTTTATCAGACTTCAGGGTTTCAGAGTCGAATTTCAAATTCGTCAGCTGTTCATAACAAAACGCGATAGCGCGTCGCGTTTTCCCGCCGTCCCTGGCTTTTGGCGTGTCCTGTACACGCAACGGCAATAATTTTCATCGACGATGATTGTCGCCCGCCGCCGCGAAATAACAGAGTAGAGGTCGAGGATATAATGGGATATAAACGCGCGCGATCGAGAAACGACAAGTAACGACAGCCCCGTGTCCCTCTCGTCCGCGCGCGGAAAAAATAACACGCTGGCGAAACGCCTGTAATCTGTAATTTCGAAATAATCGACGAAGTTAATCTCCACGCGATAATGAAGACATTGCGCGACACGCCGCGCGTCCCAGCGTATACCAGCGCGCGCGCGCGCGCGTGCACAGTGCACACGCGCGCAACCGCGTGTCTCGGATGGCGTCGTATCTCGTATCGGTATCTCGCCGGTGGTCGCCTCCCCCGACGCTTCCTCGCGATACGGTACGAAGTACGAAGTCGACGGTCGACGGCATGGTGGCCGCGAGTCAGAATGGAGACGACCTTTTCACGGACATTTTCCGACCAGTGAGCTGAGTGAGCGCGTACGTATGTATGTACATACGCGACACGTCGCGCATGCACGCTCATCGCGATTCGCGAAGGGTGGCTGGGAGGGATGGGGGAGAAGAGGGGAGAGCAAGACGCGCGACGCGCGCATCATCGCAGATTGTTATCGCCGCTGCTGAATGCTCGCGGATTCCTTTGTGCCCGTTCACGCGCTGCTCGCGACAACGCGGGACGAAGGCGCCGCGGCTCGAAGGCGCTCGTCTGTAAAATCCCGCGGGGCCGCCGGGGCGAGGAGAGATGCGGACACGTCGACTCCACCGTCTAATCTCGTAATTGATCGCCGCGAGCCGACGCGGACGGCGCTCGGTTCCGGCATTCCCGATGCGGTAAAAACACGTTCTCGCGATAAGCGCGCGCTTCTCGGAAGATTCTCCGAGGAGGCGGGTCCGGATCCGCGTGTGTACACTGTGTACCCGGATCCGCGAGCACCGCGAGTGTGGATACTCGAGGGGCGAGGAGGATTCTTCCCCGATGAGCTGCGCGACTACCACTGCGACGAGGCGCGACGAACATTCCCCGGCGCACCGTCGGCGACTGGGCGATACGATACCCTCGGTTTGTGAATGAAAACTCTGCGTTACGCGCGCGAGGTGCACGGCGACGACGATATCGAATTGCGACAATATCGGTCAGGTTCGCATCAATATTTGCGCAATTGCGCAAATAGAGTAATAAAAGCCGTGCTGACAAACGAGCGCGCCGTGCAGCTTGCTGGTACTTGTTAGCAGTGTTGGCATAAGCGCGAACGAATAAAAGAAAACAGATGACTGTCGCAAAAATGTCCCTTCCTCCCCGCCGCGTTCCGCGCTCTCGTATCACCACCTTTTTTTGCACGACTCATTTTTCTCTCTCTTCGCCAACTTTCGAGATAATGCAACGTCGCTTGCTTGACGTGTCGCCTCTATTCAACGCGCTTCGCGTCGAACGTGCTTCTTCCCAGTTTTCGCATGTGGTGTACATGTGCGCGTAATTAGGGCATTGCATAATAGCAGACCGCGCGTTGCATATTTTACTATTTTCTGTGTTCGCACCTAGGCTCAGGCGCACCGATGCATTCGTAATAAATCGCGCTTCGCCTGCTTGGAGATAACGTCCCGCAATATTGAGGCAGTACTATCAGTAAGGCGACGGTCATATCTAACATCGCCACGACGATCATAAACAATTGTCAAAGATCACTTGTCAACGACGGGCCGTTCATACGTCCAGAGAAAGAAGTGCGTACTTAACTCAAAAAGTTAACGTGTATTGTGAAAGTGTAGCGTTGTCTTCAAGTAGTTTCATCGCTTCTTACCTTCCTGGCTGTTGTCTTCAAGATTCTTTTGATTTCAGATACAGTCCTCTGAATTGGAGAAGAAATTGTATTATATCAGATATACTCATATACATACCACTCATTACCAATCTTGTTTGATTAAAAACAGAAGAGGAGAAGAGAAAAGATGTGCTCGGCGAAGCACATTTTTATCTATCCTATTGTGAGTAACAAGTTTGATATACGAGCTTAAAATATGGCCTTAAAGAGTTTATCGTGTTATCAAACATCCTGTTGATCAGGTATGTATACGAAATTATTAGATGATAATGAGTTTATCTTATAAAGAACCTCACCCAAAGTGGGCCATTGACGTACAACATTGAATCATCTGGATATTATTTTATATAAAGTTAGTAATATTATAATATTTAAGTTAAATAATGTAAAGTTTTTAGTGCCAATTAGCTAATATTACATATGGTAATATGCGAAATTCACGCCGCAGAAAATATCTTTCCCCATGTTTTTGAGACTTCAGACCATGTTATTATTATTTCTATCAACCTCCTCTACAAATGCATATAGTCAAGTGTGTACATTCATGGCCCAAAATCCCTTAACCCTTCGCAGAACAAGTGGGGCTAGACCTAGTCGATATTTCAGTTTTGAATTTTTCGGAGACTTTACGGACTCATAAAAAAAAACCTAAACAAGAATCAGGCATATATAAGTATACTTAAATTTTTTCAAATTTTTTATGGCACTATTACAGCTTGAAAATCTTAACTGGCCTAAAAAGACCCACGTTGTTCGACGGAAGCAACAAAATTATATATGTTCTGCGAAGGGTTAATAAAAAATAGGCGAGGTTTTTTAAAAATTTACATGAACTAGGGCTGCATTCGAGGAGCGCGCTATTAGCGCTATTGCATCATTCTGTCTTTATCGCTCATCAGGTGTAAAACAAGGATAGAACAAGCAAATAGCGCTAATAGCGCGCTCCCCGAATCCAGCCTACATTTATATTGGAATGGCTAGTTGATGTAACAACATTAATTTCTATGTTATGAAACGATTAACTGCTACATGAAAGAGAACTGAAATGAAGTATTATAACAATTGACATTTCAATAATAACATATAAAGATGTAATTTTGTACCTGATTATTCCTGATTCATAGTTATAAATCTAACCATTCGATAGCGATAAGATATTAAGTTTTGCTCAATAGTAAATAGATTTTTACACGTCGTGAGATAATATAGGTATTGTAACACTTCAAAAGCGTTTAATTTACTCCATTTCACATATTCAACACAATATTCTCTCTTTTCTATTAATCACTAAACAGTAATATATCTTTTTATATAACATTTTAGATTATTATTAATATTAATTATAAAATTAGATAATATTTTATATAATATTTCAGAGGGCAGTGATAAAATATATCATGCATTTATACGAGAAAAAATGAATGCGAAGGAGACTGCAATTTATATTCAAGCATTTATAGCGTTATTGAGTTGAGTTACAATTTATATTATATATCATGGTACAGCAGCGGCTTCCTAGTTTCGATAGTAAGTGTCTAAGTCCCTGTAAATGAACTCATGTTTGATTCTGTCTGATCTTGTATTAATCCATAGTTTGTAAATGTGAAATTATAGCAGTTAGAAAATACAGTAATTAGTTTTTTACACAGGTGGTCGAAGTGGACGGCGATTTATACTGACACTCGCTGCTGGAATGGTTTTCGGCTTTTTATCGGCATGTCTGCTCATCACATCCTCGAGAGATGTACCGCACATGTTCAGTTGGGTACCAGGTAGTTCTAGCCTTTCCAGAGATCCTCATCATTATTCGGAGTTGGAGTCAGAGGTACGCAATGGTATATTTTATGTTCCAAGCTACAACATTTTAAATAGATTGGTTATGACCAAACCGATCACTGAGGAAAATTAAAAGAATCTTTTTTCTTTTTTGATTAAAGTATATGCAAAAAAAATGATGTTTTCTTACAACTATTAGATGATTGTGAAATGATTTCTATATCTTATCGCTAAATTTTCTAATAGATTGGTCCTGAAACAGAAGTAAAATTTCATGGCGATGATGAAGATTTTCACAAAGGAGAAGATAGAATAGCTCAGGATATGGCGAAAAAAGTGCGTGTTCTTTGCTGGGTTATGACTGGTCCGAAAAATCATCAGAGCAAGGCTCGTCACGTAAAAGCGACATGGGGAAAACGCTGCAATGTACTTCTTTTTATGAGTTCTGTGGCAGGTATTTCGTCATAAGATAAAAATAAAGATTGTGATATACAGATAAAAAGATTGTACTCATACCGGTCATTTTCAGACGCCAGCTTACCCACTGTAGTGTTGCCAGTAAAGGAGGGTAGAGATAATCTGTGGGCTAAAACCAAAGAAGCGTTTAAATACGCTTATGAGAAGTACAAAGATAAAGTAGATTGGTTCATGAAAGCCGACGACGATACGTAAGTATATTCTGTTCACGATCTTTACAACGTAGTCACTAATTGCATATACACTACCGTTCAAAAGTTTGTAAGCACTATTTTTTTTAAAGAAAAAAACGGTACTAATACTTCCAAAGGAAAATGTCATATGAGAAACTTTATTGTCTGTTTTAATTATTCAACGCAGTATTATTTATTTTTAATCATTTTCCAAGGACGTATTTCATTTAAAGAATTTTACGGAATAAACATGCTATTATTCTGTTATGAAGAAAGAACAAGCTTTCATGGCTTGAGTAAAATATAATAATTGTTATTTGCATATTTATTACATTTTACTCAAAACCATGAAAACTTTTTTTTTCTTCATAACAGAATAATAGCATGTTTATTCCGTAAAATTCTTTAAATGAAATACTTCCTTGGAAAATGTTTAGAAACAAATAATACTGTGTCGAATAGTTAAAACAGACAGTAAAGTTTCTCATATGACATTTTTCTTTGGAAGTATTAGCACCACTGTGCACTGTTTTGTTTTTCTTAAAAAAGTAGTGCTTCTAAACTTTTGAACGGTAGTGTACATTCTGTCTTTGCGATAAATTTTATCTTTACGGCGTAGTGTACAAAAATAAGTAGCACAAATGTTTAATGGTATCTTTTTCAGTAGCAGTGT